CTAGCCGTTCATACTTCCATCCATCCATCATCCATCATCCTTCCATCCATCCATCCATCCATCCATCCATCCATCATCCATCCATCATCCATCCATCATCCATCCATCATCCATCATCCATCCATCCATCCATCCATCCATCCATCCATCCATCCATCCATCCATCCATCCATCCATCCATCATCCATCTGTCCAGCCCTCCTTCCATTCAGCCCATGGGCATCTCTCAGGAGGCTTTTAGGCCTTTAGAGAACTGACGTCATCTGACCTGCAGTGGCTGCGGGACACCGAGTGACCGTGCTGGCGGTCTCAGAAGCTCCGAGAGGGGAGGCCAGCTCTTCTTCTGGCAGGAAGGTCGGCAAAGCTGGGCCTGGGTTTGGAAGGCAGAATGCATGGGGTCCAGGGGGACACGGCGAAGGCGCCATGCAGAGAACTCCCCGAGTGTCCCCCCTCCCCCCGCTGCTCAGCCCAGAGAGGAGGGGGGAGCTGGCTGAGACCCCAGCTGGGAAGGGAGACGGCGCCCCCCACCCCCCCCAGCATGCATAGCTTAGCCCCTAATTACACAGTGACGCAACTTGTTTTTAAAAAACATGTTTATTTTCATTCTGACTCATTGTAGAAAATTTAGAAAATACAAAAAATAAAGAGAAGAAAATAAAATGCACCCACAGTTCTGCCGCCCAGACATGACGCCCGTGATCATGTCTGCATGTCCCTCTGGGGACAGACACAGACACGTGCTGCCCTGATGACACATGTGTCTTCACCGGCCGTGTCGGGGTCTGGCCTGCTGTGCCCCAAACTCGTGCTGACATAGCGCTGGGGACGTCATTTCAGGGTTTTTAAAAATTAAGGTACAACTCACATAGCATAAAATTCACCCTTTTAAAGCAGACGGTTTGGTGGTTTTTAGCCTGTTTACAAACGTGTGGGGTTGTCACTGCCAAGTCCAGAGCAGCTTCGTCACCCTCCGCAAGAAAACTTCGGTTCACTGGCAGCCCCCCCGCCCCTCCCCGCAGCCCTGACGGCACCCGCCCACTGCCCGCCACGCCGGACGGTTCCCACGGAGGGACCCGCACGGCGCGTAGCTCTGTGAGTCTGGCTTGCCCCGCTCCGCACGTTCTCGGGGTTCATCCACCCGTGTCGGCCCTTCGTTCCTTTTGATGGCCGAGCAATATTCCGCCGTGGGGTTGGGCCACCCCGCTCACGCGGTCATGGACGTCGGGTGGCTGCCGTGCACTCCTGTGCAGACAGACGCGGTTTCAGCTCCGCTGGGTGAACACGTGCAGTGGAATTGCCAGCCACGCGGTCACTCTTTCTGTGCTCCTCTTTCTGAGGGGCTGCCAGCCTGTTTTCGGGGTGCCTGCACCAGCTCACATCCCCTCCGGCACTGCCCGAGGCCCCGACCTGTCCGTGTCCGGGGTTGGGGAGACTTATGGCTATGTCTTTGTCTGGGAGCTGGGTAGAGTTTTAGGTCTTTGATCTGTCGTGAGTTAATTTTGTATGTGGCGAGGGGTAGAGGTCCACTTTTACTCTTTGGTCTGTAGATAGCCCGCATAACATTTCATCACCCCAAAACAGAGATTATCCTTTCCCCCACTGAATTGTCTTAGCGCCTTGTTGATAATCAGCCACCCACAAATGCGGATTCCCGTCTGGGTGCTCAAGTCCTCCGCGCGTCTGCCCCTCCGTCTCAGTGACGTGGCTCTGTAGTAAGCTTTGGAATGCGGGCGTGGGAATGCTCCGGCTTTGTTCTTTGCTTGGGCTGCTCTGGGTCCCTTGCATTCCCAGGTGAACTTTAGGATCAGCTAAGTCAATTTCTGTGAAAAAAAATAAAACAGAAAGAACTCTGGGAGTTTGATAGGATTGTCTGGCATGCGCAGATCAGTTTGGGGAGTGTGGCCATCTTGAAGTCACTAAGCCTTCCAGCCCCCAAATACGTGACGTCTTTCCATTTATTTGAGTACTCTTTAATTTCTTTAACTGGACGGTGGGAAGGGCTGGGCCCTGAGTTGGGGGCTGAGAGGGACAGTGCCCCTCCCCTCTCATAGACCTGTGAACGCGCAGCTCGGTTTCCTCTGGAACCTCTTACGAAGAGTCTACTGGGGGCGACCGGAGGTCGCTTAGGGTTCCTAACCGTCTGACGTCACGGCCCCTGTGTGGAGCGGCGAGTTGGGAAACCCCCGTCGTCCACCTCTTCCTCTGCCGACCGCAGCTGCTCGTCACCAGGCAGGCATCCAGGCCCCGGGGGACCACAGCGCCTGGCTCTCGGGCCATCTCAGACAGCCCGGGAGGGACCCCAGAAGCCAGCCTCCCGTGAGGGACCAGATGGCTGCAGGCAGGAGGGCGGATGAGGTGGCTTTTTGTGGTCCCTGCCCCAGGATTCCGGGACAGCCGCCCACAGCGCTGGCCTCCCGCCCAGATCCGTAGGTCTGTGTCTTCAGGCGACTGCGGAAAGGTGCCCCACGCAGTCTCTGCCCCCTTCCCAGAGGGCAGGGCGGGCGATCACTTTTATATATCGCTGCAGATTAAAACTCAAGGCAGGCAGGGAGGGTGCTCAGGTGCCGCTTTGATGCACACAAAGGCGCTTCCCTGCCCGCGGCTCCCACTCACCGGCTCCCAGGTGGAGGGGAGTGTGGTCTGGGCTTATGGGAGAACCGGCTGAGTTGCTTGTTCCTATTCAAGTCTTTGATCTATGGACAGGCTGGCAGTGAGAGGGAAGGGTCTTATTAGGGGCATAAATCAGAGTTGTGGGGGGGGCTCCTGTAACTCTCAGCTGCCCGTGCCCCCCGCCCCCGCCACAGTGGGGTTAGCTGGAGACTGCGTCCACCTCACCCCTGCAGGACGCTTGGGGTCTCCGACCGCTGTGGCTCAGCCAGCCGCCTCTGCCCACCTCTCTGTCCCCTCGCCCCACCAACGGGAGAGTTCGGGTTCCAGCTCCTGAGTTTCTGGACCCTGCGAGGGCCTGGCACTGTGTTCCAGGTGGGTGGAGGCATGACAAGGACCCCAGAGAGGGGACCCCAATGTCAGGTTCTGCCAAGGAAGGGCTCGGGGACCAAGCTCTTGGCAAGATCTCTGCCAACCCTGTCCCCACCAGACTTGTCCTTGTCAATTCAGATGCCGTGGTGCCTGCAGGTTGAAGTGCCGGGCCCTAAAGCCCCAGGGACAGGCTAGACCCCTCTCTGCTCGTACTGTTTTCGGGGCCCAGGGCAAACACTCCTCTTCTGGGGGCCACCCTCCCCCTTCCCTGGTGAGGTGCCAGTTCCTCAGCTCTCCGTGCACGGCACACGCAGCACAGGTGCCCTGCCACACGCACACATGTGCACACATGCACGCATGCAGATATACACAGCACGGATGCACACAGCACACACGCACACATGCACACACGTGCACACATGCACACATGCAGATATACACAGCACAGATGCGCACAGCACACACGCACATGCACACACATGCACACACATACACAGCACAGATGCGCACAGCACACACAAACACACACACATGTGCACACAGCACATGCACACACTCACACATGTGTGTGCACACACAGCCATACACACATGCACACATGTACACACATGTGTGTGCGCACATGCACACGTGGCACACCCGTGCATGCACGTACACACCGCATCACAGGCGGGCACCCATCTCGCTCGTGCCTGTGAGCCCCTCTGTGGCTTGCAGGGCGGGGTTCTAAGGTCCCCCCTCCGCCTGGCTGGGTGGCAATTAAATATGAAAACCCATGTGAAAGGCAACCGGGCAGTTAGCTCGCTCTCCGGCACCAGAGGAGGCTTGCGCCCGGCCACCACCCTGCACTGCGGGTGTCCGTCTGACCCTGTGGCTCCACCCCTCACAGCTGACGCTGAGCCAACGCCCCTACACCGTCCGTGCCAGGAGACATCAGGGTGTTCTTCAGAAACAGAACCAGCCGCCCCCCAAACCAGCCTTTCCTGGGGCAGAGTCCGTATTTGCAGGGAGCCCCGAGTCAGGGAGCCTGGGCCCGCACCCGCGCGTCTGGAGTGCCAGGCCTTGCCAGCAGAGGGCGCTGCAGAGGCTTCAGTGTTGGCCTGTCCACCCACAGCCGCCTCGCTGATGAGCTGGGGACCCCCTCCCAGCGGCACAAGAGACTCTGGGCCAGAAGGCCTCTGGCAAAAAGGCTTAGAGACGAGAGAACCACGTCTCAGGGCAAAATCCAGGAGGAGATCCGTGGCCGCAGGCCAGCTCGTCTGGTCCCCGTGAGACCAGCTGCAAAGGTGACAGGGCTCCACCCGAGTTCTGGACCAGGAGGCAGGCAGGAGCCTGTCGGTAGGGCCCTCGGCTTGGGGGCACCTGCAGGGGGCTGGGGCGGGCAACTTCCTGCTTTTGCTGGGCTGCCGAGATCTCCCGGAGCCCACGCTGGAAGTCCTTGTCACCCAGAGCCTCTGTCTGTGCACAGACGGGAAGGGCCCCTGCCAGCTGTACACCTGTTCTGAAAAGGGGCATATCAAGGGCGTCGCGGTGGCATCTGGGACCTCCTCAGGCTGTTGCCCGAGCCGGAGGCCCAGGGCTGTGGCGGGGACTCTCCTCACTGCTGGGTCCTGGAGGGGGACCGGGGCGGCTGCATCTTCGGGGAGCGTCGTCTATGGTTAGGCCCAGAGGGAGCGGTGAGATAGCTCCACTCTGTGGCCTTGGAGTGCACAGGAGCGGGGACACTGGTGTTTCGCGCGAGCAGGGCAGGCCCGGAGGCCTGGGGGTGTTGGGAGGTTCCGCCTTGGGCCTGGGAGGGAGGGTTGGCGCCATAAGTAGTGACACATGGCACAGAGGGTCAAGAACTGTGGGCTGGAATGGAGGAGACGGTGGGGACTTGCAGAGGTGGCCACCGGGTGGCCAGGCCACAGCTTTAGTCCCAGGGCCCCTGGGGGCCTGCTGGGGCCTGACGTCCTGGGGCCCAGTGCCAGCCCCAGTCTGCACCCTCCCTGGATTGACCCTCTGCGCCCTCTCTCCTCCAGGCGCCTGGATGCCAACATCATCTCCGTGGTCCCAGAGAGGAGCTTTGAGGGGCTGTCCTGCCTCCGCCATCTGTGGCTGGACGACAATGCACTCACCGAGGTCCCTGTCAGGGCCCTCAGCAACCTGCCCGCCCTGCAGGCCATGACCCTGGCCCTAAACCGCATCAGCCGCGTCCCCGACTTCGCCTTCCAGAACCTCAGCCGCCTCGTGGTGCTGTGAGTGCCCGGCCCCAGCCCGCCCCGCACGTGCTCAGAGGCCTGACGGCTTCGCGCACTCTGAGCCGCTGAACCATGGCCTCATCCTCCCCTTCATGGAATGGGGTGCGCCGTGCCCTCACGAGGTTGTCGTGAAGCCAAATGACCTTAGGGCGACAGACGGCTCTGAGAGGACCATGTCCTAACCGGACACCAGAGCCGAGGTGGCCTCCTCGCTGCACACACAGCCGCCTCGCTGGTGGGTGTAAGCCCAGGGTCCGTAAACAGCATGTGACATTTAGGCGAGGCCGTCTTACGCTGTGGCCCAGGGAAGCACCCGGTCCTCCCGTCCCCGGCCTGGAGAAGCAGGGACAAGTGCCCCTGGTGCGGCCGGGCCGGTGTGCGGGTGGTCAATACCTGGCCATGGCGTCCAGCAGGACGGGGCTGGGGTGAATGCTGCCTTCCCAGTGGGCACCCGAGAGGCACGTCAGCTCCCAGTTAATGCCCTGTGTGACTGGTGCGTTCACAGGGTAATCGTCGGGCGCTCGGAGGTCGTGAGAAATTGCTCTGGGTTCCACACCCTGGGGGACAGGTGTGCTGGTGATTCTGCTCCATGGCGCGTCACCCCACCTGCTCTTAGAAACCGGGAGGGGACGGTGGTCGAGGACCCCAGGAGAGAAACTCAGGGTGCAGGAGAACCAGCCGCTTCGTCCCCTCGGTCCTTCACGGGATGGAGGGAAGAGGCGTCGGGGGGACAGGCGAGCCGTGAGAGGGGCGGGGAGCGGGGTGAGCTGTAGGCAGGCCCGGGAGGCAGGGAAGGGCGGCTGGTGGGACGAGAAGCAAGGAGCCGCCTGGGGACACCCACGTGGTGGAGGGGGCTCTGCTGGAGGTGGGGAGACGGTGGGAGGAGGGGCAGGGCCTCTTTTCAACGCCAACCCCGGACTCCCATCGCAGCTCTGACATGGCGGACACCTTGTTCGTCACTGGTCAGCCGTGACTTCGTGTGTGCAAATGCTGTCTCTCCACCTGGACAGTAGGCCCCAGCACCCTGCCCCAGGCTGGCTGCCGGAGGCACCCAGGACCCCAGGTTGAATGGGTGACTGGAGGGGGCCGGAGGCAGGGGCTGGGAGCTGAGCCGCTGTGGACCAGGGTGCTGGGGGGAGGGGCGGGACGTGGAGACTGGTCAGCAGAGGCAGGGAGAGTGACAGAGGCGGAGGAGGTCGGGCCATTGGCCCCTCGGCGAGGGGACGCAGTTTCTTCCCGGAAGGCGAGGCTGTGTGTCCCCATCAAATCGGAAGCGCCTCTCGGAGGGGTCCGTGTCCACCTGGGGCACCATGGAGCAGGTGGGCGGCATGTGAGGGCGTGCAGGACCCCAGACCCTCAAGGCCCAGCCGGCCACCGCGTTGGTGGTCTGCCGTTAGCTTTGGACACCTCCAGGCCAGCGTGACCTCTCCGTCTCGTCAGTGACTTCCTTCCTGCCCCAACGTATCTCAGCCCTGGACTTCAGTGGCCAAAGGGGACACGTTGCGTGTGGCTGGCTCAGCCTCCAGCCTCCCCAAGCAGCTCGGCTCAGGGTCTCTCTTCTGTATTCTGCCTCTGAAGAGTCCCCGCGTCACGTTGGGCCCCGTCCCTCGGGGACACCAGCGTCCCCTGTGTTGTGTCCCCTCCTGGGCCTCCACATTCGTTCGTGTCTGTCCTAACCTTCCGGTGACAACCGGCTCCTTGACCCATGAGCTTCTCCTCTGGCTGTTTTTAGCCCCGTCTGTGCTGTCGTTTCAAGCTGCGTGTTTGAGCCTCTTGTCGTGGGCATCCTGGGCCGCGGTCTGGCCTGTGTGGCTGTGTCGCCGGCTGGGTCTCCCCTCCAAGCTGCTTGCGGGCTGGACTCACAGCTCAGTGAGATCCGCTGGCCTGTGCGACCCGGGGGAGGGGGAGCTCGGACGCCGTGTCCAGCGTCCGGGCCAGGTGCTGAGCGTGTGAGTCACGGCCCCCTCCGGACGCCCTGTGGCTTTGCGCCACCTCCTCAGTTGGTGGCATCTGGAGCCCGGAGACGGGATGCAGGGAGCCGCTTCGCCACAGACTGGGATTTTAGGGAGAATCCCCAGGATTTCGATCCTCGGCACCGGTTTACTTACGCTACGTGACGTGTCTCTGTGCTCGTCTTGCTGGTGACATCGGGGACGAGGGCAGGGTCTCATGTTTGCCGTCTCACTCGTCTCATTGGGACCTGGGAGGGTTCCGTGTCACCCATGGCCGCTGCTCCGTTCCCCGCCGCAGTCTCTCCCAGACCGATGTCCCGCCTCTGCCGGCCCCTCGCCGTCCTGCACCGTGGTCCCCACCATCACCTCTGCCTAGAATGCCCTTCCCCCTGCTTGTCCAGGGCGCCCACCCGCCAAGGCTGTGCTCCAGACGGCTCCTCGTGAAGCCTCCCCAGGCCCCGGCCACAGCAGGCCGCCCTCAGGCTGGTCTGCAGCTCTCGCTAAGGAGAAAGCTCAGCCCTTAATTATGTGTTGTCTGCAGCGGTTGGCCGTTGGCTCCTGTAAGTGTGTCAGGCCACTGAGTCAGGCAGGCTGGGTCCCAGGGGCCGGACCACAGAGGAAGCCTCGGCTGGAGCCCCCATCTGCCCCTGCGGACAGCAGGCCTCTGAGGGCAGTGGGAGCCCGGTCAGCTGCGGCCTGGGGCATTCCTTTGCCTTCGATCGGAATTCAAAACTGCACAGCCCGTGGCCAGCCTAGCCTTGGAGAGCGTGTCTCCCGAAGTCGGGCTCGGCCAATCATTTTGTCACTGGAGACAGAGGGCCGAGCGCTGGGGTCATCTCTCTGTGCTTCTGCCTCCACCTTCCTGCTTGAGCCACCGTCTGCACCCCCCACCACCGGCCCGGGGCTGTGGGCGTCCAGTCTGACGCATCCCTTCTTCCCACACAGGCACCTTCATAACAACCGCATCCAGCGTCTGGGGACCCACAGCCTCGAGGGCCTGCACAGTCTGGAGACGCTGTGAGTCCGGGCGGGGTGTGGAAGGCCGGCATCCGGTGTCCAGCAGCGGGGAGGCCGGCTGGACACGGACGCTGGGCCTGGCCGCGGGCCCGCGCGCCCCACGGCCTCCCTGGCTCTCCCCCAACATGTGACTCGAACGTGTGCCTCCCCCTCAGTCAGAGTGTGCCTTGGGTGGTCGGGGGGCCCAGGCGGGAACCCTGGGACCCCGCGGCAGAGAGCTCTGTGACAGTGAGAGCTTTGGCTGGAAGTGGGAACAGCCAGCGACAGCCAGGGTGGGGCCTGGGGGGGCGGCCGGGGCCGAGCCGAGGGCGGCGTGGCGTCTGTCTGCGGTGGCAGCTGACGAGGGAGGGAGAGATGCGAGCTGTTTGCCAGTTAGTGTAAGCGGCAAGTGGCTGACGGGGGGCTGGCCGCTCAGCGCCCACCCGTGTTGGCTCGTCGGAAGCTGTGTTTTCTGGGCGTTGCCGGCCGGGGCTGGGATACGGTCGGCGTGTCCCACACTCGCCATTTCCCCTGCAGCTCTGGGCCGGGGCCACATGAACAGAGACTGCTGGGCTCCCCAATACCCTGGCCACGCCAGCCGGGGCCCCGCAGCTCCAGGGGGGCTACGCAGGCTGGGGAGGGACCCGGGGCGCCAGGGCACAGCCAGTTCTCGTCACCCCAGTCCACACACCGGGGTACCTCTCCTGAGCTGACGGGCCTTCAAGTGGCGGAAGCAGCAGAGGGACCCTTGCGCAGGGCAAGCCGTGACCCGCGGAGGCCACGCTGGGCAGAGCTGCTGGGCGCGTGTAGCTGTCCAGGTTTGCGGTTGGGGGCCGTGACCTCACACCCCTCCTCTCGCTGTGGGCACAGCCCGAAGCTGAGACAGGGCAGAGCCGGCCCCGATGCCCCTCCCGCTGACTGCGGGCCCAGGGCTGGGTGCAGGGGGCCCAGCCTGGGGTCAGGAGCGGGGAGCTGACTTCAGCCACGTGCTTCCCTCTGAAGCTGTGCTGGACAGAGGGTCAGTTACGCTGGACGGTCTAGCCTGCTTGGTCCACAGCTGGAAAACTGATGTCCGGGGAAGCTGGGCCCCGCTGGGGGCGGAGCAGGCCCAGGCTGTGGTGTTAACGGGACTTGGCCCACGGCCCTGCCACCCCTGTCCAGAGCTGAGTGAGCGGTCGGCGAGCCCAGCTGGAAGCCGGTGCCCCGCAGCCACCTCCGTCGGGGACACAGCTCTGGGGGGTTCGGGACGGCCGGCCACCTGCGTGGAAGAGGAGTCTGGGTCCCTGCCCTGGGGCGCGGGACGTTCGCCTTGCTGGGAAGTCAAGGGGGGTGGCACATGTGCTGGGTACGGGTTGGCACCTCTGAGAAGCCAGCTGGCAGCGATCTCTTCACTTTAGGGCATGCCACCTGATTCTTTCTCAATTATCCACTGGGGTGCCGTGTGGGCACTTGGCACCGCTGCCTCTGGCTCACCCACAAAGCAGCCCGCCGCCCAGCGTCCCCTGTGCCTTTGATCTGCGGGCGCTGAGCTTGCCACACAGAGCCTGGCACCCACTCCCCAGATGGGACGGCCAGGTGAGGGACAAGGCAGGTCCGCAGCCACGCCGCGGAGCCGGGCGGCCGCGCTCGGCTGTCTGTGCGGCCTGGGCACGGCGTGAGCTGCTCTGCTTCTGTTTTCTGGCCCGTGGCTGGTCTGCCCGGGCGGCTGGCGTGTGCTGGCGACGTGTGTGCGGGGACCCTCCCCGTGGGCAGCACCCCTCTCTTCCCACCCTCCAGGGGTCACATCTTCCCCCAGCTTTTGATCTCCAGTTAAAAGGGGGAGGTGCGTTCTCCGCTGTCTCCCCTGGAGCGCTTGTGGGGGCCGAGGCTGGGGAGCGAGCGGAGCGGGCGCCAGGTGTTCGTGACGGGCGGGCCTGGCAGCCCCTGGCCCTCTGGCTTTTCCTGTGCGGCTCTGGGCCGTTCTCCCTCGGGCTGTCAAGTCTCTGCCACCTCGGTCTCTCTCATCTCGCAGCAGAGGGAAGATCAAACTGGCCCGCTGTGGTTTGGCTGGAAGCCTCTTGGGAGGGGCGTGGCACCCGGCCCCTCCACCTGAGCCGGGGGGCCTGGCCGGCGCACACGCACGTGCCACACGGCAGACCGTGCACGTGCCCTGCGGCTCAGGCCCTCCACATGGTCCCCCCAAGCAGACGCAGCCCCCCCACCCCACGGCCTCGGGCCTGGGGTCCAGCACCGGCTCTGCCCGAGCCACAGCGAGTAGCCGCCGCTCCAAGCCTCGCTTCGCTCCAAATCCTTCTTGTCGAGCGGGAAGAAAGCAGACTGACAAACACACGTCGGACGTCAGCGGGTCCCGCGCGGTGGGCACACAGGGCATCTCACTGTCTGTGGCTTCATCGCGGATCATGGGTCCTCAGAAGTCCATGCATTGGCTGGGCTGACTGAGTGCCTTCGGCTGGAGCCTTCCCTGGGCCGCCGGGGGGCTGCAGTCAGCCGGGGCTGGAGGATCCTGGGAGGCCTCAGTCACGCGTCTGGGCCTCGGTGCGGGCGGTCGGCCGGGCCTGTCTCTCCACGGGCTCCGTCATCAAGCCAGCTGGCTCCCCCCACGATGTGTGCCGCCCCCTCCCCCGCCCCCGGCCAGCTTTACTGAGATGTAATTGACATGCCGTGTGAGCGGGCGGTGTCCGGCCTGTTGATCTGATGCACTTGTATGTGGACAGTCATCAGACGGTGGCTACTTCTCACCTACCACCCGGGCGGGGGCGCGGGGACGGCAGGCTGTGCGGTTTTGGGCGGAGCGGTGGGATGCGCCGTAACCCGGGCAGGCGGCGGGGAGCCGGGGGAGTGCGGCCGAGTCCCCGTGGGCCGCACAGCGAGCAGCAGTGCTGAGGCCAGACACGCGCTCTTCCTCGCGGACGCGGACGCGGACGCGGCAGCAAGGCTTCCGGGCGAAGATGCCTGGGTGCCCCTTACGGGGACTCTGGTTCTCCCTGGCCCACGGCAGAGGACGGGCGGGCTGAGCCAAGCACAGAGGGGCACGGGCGCTGAGGGCGAGCCCTCGCCGACGGCAGGAGCGGGCGGGCCCTGCCTCACCCTGCAGCCTCGGCTGCCCCCGCCCGTGTTCCAGGCGGCCCTGTCGCCCGTGGTGGGACTCCAGGGGGTTGACGCCCCCCACTGACTGCAGCGCCGGGCCTCAGGGAGCCCCACACACGTCCCGGCCACCCACACAGCCGTGGGGGCCTCCCGGAGAGCAGGTCAGTCAGATTCACTGAGCTGCAGAGGGAGCTTGTGCTGCAGCTGCCTGACGGCTGGGGTCTGAGCCCCGGGGTCTTAGCGCAGGTGATGACGGGGGGCAGCGGGAGGCGGTGTCTGGCTGCCAGACCCGGCGTAGCGTGCTGCTGGCCCACGAGACCCGCCGAGCCACTCCGTAATGAAAGGCTCGCCACCGGCCCGCGCTGCTGCTTGGGTGGACATGGGCGGGGCCATTTGGGGGGCCACGGCCAGGGCGGGCGTGCACCCCAGCCACAGGCATCCAGAGGCACAAGGCACCCCAAACTAGGCACATTTCCACATGGGCTAACGTGCGGCTACCGAGTGACACAGGCCAGCCCGAGGCGTGACGCGGACGTCTCTTCTGAGGGAGCCGGCCACGCACAGCGGGCGCTCTGCAGCCCTGTGGGTGCCGCCTGCACCGCCGTCTCAGGATGTGGCCCCGCTTGGGGGGGGTCCCCCCACTGCAGCCCTTTCCTTTTTCGTCTCGGGCAGCTGTAAATCGCTTCTCTCGAAGGTCACATTTGCTCTCCGTCCCTCCGTCCGCCTCCACCTCGTGCTGTGGTCCCCACGGCGGGCGCAGCGGCCCCTCGAGAGGGTAAGGGGGACAGAGCTGCGGTCACTAACGGCTCATGTTGCCCGGTGGCTGGTGGGCACGCTTGCCCGACGTCCCCGCGCCCGGGCAGACGACCGTGGGACAGGCGCCTGGCCTGGAGCAGCTGAGCACGCGTCTCTCCGTGCGGAAAGGCTGCGTCGCGTCCGTCTGAGGGGGCGTGTGCACCGCGTCTCTGCCGTGGTCATTCCAACGCCGGGCCCAGCCGTCCGCCAGCAGCCACATGAGAGGCGCAGCTCACTCTTATGGACGGCGACAGGGTGGGGGCCGAGGCGAGCACTCGAGGAGCCTTCCGGAACCCCAAGAATCGGTGGCAAGGTGTTAAAGGTCGCCCCCTTACCCTCCTGCCCCTCCCTGTCACTGATGTCCCCAGCGCTTGAGATGCCGCCTCAACCAGCGGGGACGGCTCTGGGGCTGTCGGTCCCTGCGCCCACATCTCCAAGGGTCCCCTGGGCTCAGTCTGCTGGTCAGGACGACCCCGCACCAGCGGTGTGGAGCGGGAGGGGGACATCAGCACCCCCACATGCTGCCAGCATCGCCCGCCGCCGACAGCCGGACAGCCCACCGCTGGGCAGCCCGGAGCCAAGCTCGCGCGGCTCGGCCCGCCTGCTGTCGGCCGCCCTGACCGCCGGTCTCCCCCACAGGGACCTGAACCACAATGAGCTGCAGGAGTTCCCTGCCGCTGTGAGCACGCTGGGCAGGCTGCAGGAGCTGTAAGTGCCTCGGCCGGGACGGCGGCCCCCGCCCCGGGCCTCCCACGGTTCCTGGAAAACCATAGCCACGTGCCCTCCGACCCCAGCGCAGGTCCGAGCAGCCATCAGCCTCATTAGCTTAGCCTCAAGCATTTCCGAGGGGTGTCACCAATGGAAACAGCCTTGGGCCCTTCCAGCCTGGGGACACACATGCCACCTCCTGTTAGGCCAGGCCTGGCACTGCTCCTGCCTTGGTTGGGGCATGTCCAGAGGTGAACGAGGGAGGGACTGGGGCTGGCTTACGAGGTCACCGCTCAGCACTGGACCCACAGGGCATGGGAAGCTGGCCCCAGCATTTACTGAGCGCCTGCCGAGCCTGCCGTGTGAGTGACGTAGACACCAGCCGTTGGGGACACAAAGCAACATATGTAAAGCAGGGACCAGGACAAAATCCTTAGGGTTGGCTTGTAATTCTGACCCTAATGGTACAGTATCAGCTAAAATGACTGTGGGAAGCCCGGAGTAAGAGAGAATGTTGTGGTTAATCCACGCTGAGTCTGGTCTTGAGGCTGGAGGCCTAGGTGGTGGGATGGGGAAGGGGAGGCATTGCAGGCAGAAGACAGTGCAGACGAGCACTGGGGGGCATGGAACGGGCCGGGGGAGCCCAGCAGGGTGCCCGACCTCGGCGGAGGACAGCAGAGGCCACGTCTGGGGCCCGAGGTTCGCGAGCAGAGTCCGGAACGCTGTGGTAGCACTGGGCCGGCGCGTGGCGTCTGTCTCTCTTGGTTTCGCAAGCCGTGGAGAGAAGGCTGCTCGGGGACAGGGCCTCAGGCTCATAAACGTGCCAGTCCCCAGAGCACAGCTCAGCGTAGGCACAGAGGCTCAAGCCGTACCTCGGAGTGCTGACCCAGGAGGAGCAGCGGCCAGACGGTGGCCTTGGCTGGCTGCGTGAGTGGCAGTGTCCAGGCCAGCGTGAGGGACGGCCTGAGGTGGCAGAGCCGGGGGAGGGGGAGGGAGCAGAGAAGCCAGAGACCTCCATGGAAAGAGAACAGTGGCGGCATGGACCTTTCTCGAAAAGTCCCCAGTGAGCCACAGGCGTCATCCTGCCTGCAGGGCGCTGGCCCTGGTGCCACCTCGTTCCCGTCCCCGCCGGGCGCCGGTCAGTCAGCATCTGACAGCGCCTTGACCCCCTTGCTGCTTCAGGGCCTCTAGGCCAAGCCTCTATCTGGGGAACACCCCTCATGCGGGATAACCCCTGAAGCCGTTTTTCCCACACCCTGCTCTCCCACATGCCCCCCTACTTGCCCCTTGGGGACCCTCCAGGGCTCTGCCCCAGTGACAAGGAGAGGACGGCCCCCCTGGGAGCTGACTTGCCCTCCAGGCTCCCCAAGGCCCGGCCCCACGCCTGTCACCCCTGTTACGTGGCGGGGGGTGCGGGGGGCGTGCTGTGTGACCCAGGAGGTCACAGGCGGAGCTGGTGCCGGGGTCCCCATGCCCCGCACACCCCCTCCAGGCCTCGGCCGCCCCGGCTGTCTTCCAGGGGCTTCCACAACAACAACATCAGAGCCATCCCCGAAAGGGCCTTCGTGGGGAACCCACTGCTGCAGGCCCTGTGAGTCCAGGCTTCTCCCGCTGCTCGGGGGCCGGGGAGGGGCCGCGCCAATGCTCCCGGTCTCCCTGGGGAGGGGGGGAGGCGGAGATCGCCAGCCGTGCTCCCAGCTGCAGCGCTGAGTGGCTGAGCCGGCGTGGGGGTCTCTCTTCCAGACACTTCTACGACAACCCGATCCAGTCGGTGGGAAGGTCTGCATTCCAGCACCTGCCCAAGCTGCACACACTGTGAGTGGGGGGGGGGGCTGCCAGGGCCGTGGCCTCTGCCCCAACTTCCGGGAGTGGCCTCCGCCGCCCCATCCCCTCCCCCTCCTCCCCCGTGGCCCAGAAGCCTGGACTTCAGGCTGCAGGCTGCCCTGGCTCCCCGACCTGGTGGGCACGGCCTCCTCCCAGAGCCCAGGTGGGTGAGCGGGCCCTGGTCCACGGCCGAGCTTGTCCACGCCGAGGGCTTCCACCTGACCTCCCGTCCTGCTCACGGCAGCAGTTTTGTGAATGTCCCGGACGCCGGACCGCGCCGAGGTCCAGTCTGTCCAGCGACCTCGGCCCTCTGCCGCCCACCTCGCTGCTTTGCTTCCTGCCTCCCGCTTGTCTAATTCCCCAGCCCACGTCCCCTCTTCAGAACCTTCCCTGGCTGCTCTCGGCCCACAGCGCCGGTGACGTCCCCAACGCCTCACAGCACACGCCTGGCTTTCGTATTCGCCGTCAGGCCCCGTCTTCACCCTAAACCCGAGAGGGTTTTGGTGCATTTGATAGACGGGTCCTGAGCGCCCAGATCCCTGGCCCCGGATCGGGCCTCGCTTCTGGACCCCACGCTGCCCGCTTGGGTCGGCAGCAGGCTTTCTGTGCCCCTGTCGTGGGTGGGTCCGTGGGGTCCATGTGCTCACCGGAGGGTGTGGGGGCCGGGAAGCCACGAGTCTAAAGCGGCCTAGGAAGGGGGAGCAGGGCAGACGCTCCGACGAAGCCCCAGCAGACGGCGGCTCAGCGGCCACAGCCGCCCGGGGCTTCTCGGAGGCACCGAGTCGCCCCCTTTTCAGCAGAGGCGACTCCCCGTCCCCTGCCTGTGTTGTTGGCACTCTGGGCCCGAACACCAAGGCTGCCGGCTCCCTGGTCAGCCAAGCCCGGCCGCCACCAGGTCTGGGCAGCCGGGGCGATCGAGGCAGGCTGGGGGCGGACCACACATGCAGGGAGACCCCGAGGGCTGGGAGCTGGACGTGGACGTGCTCCGCCCTCCGCCCTCCGCCTTCGAGCTGCTGGCTCTGCTTCCAGGTCCCTGAACGGAGCCACAGACATCCAGGAATTCCCAGACCTCAAGGGCACCTCAAGCCTGGAGACGCTGTGAGTGGTGTGGCCTCGGCCCCGCCCTGGCTCGGCCCCGGGGGGTGGGGGGCTACTCTGGGGGCTGTCCTGGCTTGCCTGCCCCTGCCGCGGGCTCCAGCCTGGCCTAGAGGTCATGTGGCTTGGCCCCAGGGGCCATGCCCATCTCCACAGCTGCAGGCAGGGCCGGTGGCGGTGGCGGGAGGTCTGGGATGAGGAGGCTGGACTTCTCGTCCTCGCTGTTCTCAGGGTTCTCAGGCGTGACTGCGGGGTTCCTGACCCACACGTGGGCACTGAGCACCTGTGGGGCGGGGGGCCTTTCTGAAGCTCAACATCCACACGGCTCCCCGGTCCTCTGCCACCCCCTCATACAGCGTGGGCAGAGGGCGTCAGAGCGTGGCCGGGCCCGGGGCAGTAAGGGGGTGGACGGGACAAGTGAGGGGCCCACCGTCCAGCCCCAGGTCACACAGCTTGTGTGTGGCATGGCCGGGCGGGGACCTGTCTCTGCTTCTACTGTCTTCCCGGGGGTCGCTGGCATCTGGAAGATTCTCCCTGAGGGCTCTAACAGGTCCCCAAGGATGACCTTGGCTCGGTCTCCACTAGGACACCCTGCCCCTGAGCCAGGCCCGCTCTCCACCCTGCCCCGTCCTCCTCCCTCTTCCCTCCCAGCCTGGGTGACTCCGGGCTGGGTTCCCACGGCCTCCGCCCCAGCTTTCCTGTCTGCTCCCTGCCCTCAGGGGAGCCCGGAAGATGCCGGTCACTGTGCTGCAGGGTGGCCGCAGACCTTAGGAGACATTGGGTGGGGGCAGAATGGGGCCGGGCGTGTAGGGCCCGTCTGCTGCGCGTCCCTCTGTCTCCCCAGCCCCTGCCCTGTGCCTCCCGCCACCCGCCCCGTCAGCTCCGTGCTCCTGTGCCAGCATCCGGCCCGGGGCGGGAGCTGCCGCCGGGGCCGCCGGGGCCCGGGCCTGCTCCAGTGCGCATCTGTCCCCCCCGCAGGACCCTGACCCGCGCGGGCGTCCGGCTGCTCCCGGCGGGGATGTGCCAGCAGCTGCCCAGGCTCCGGGTCCTGTGAGTGGCTCACGCGCCCCCAGTCCCGCGTCGCACCCCACGCCCGGGGACCGCAGAGGCCCCTGCTGCTGGAGCCTGTCCGCTCCTGCTCAGGGCAAAGGGCGGTGGTCTCGGGAGCCGGGCCTGGCACGAGGCCCGCTCTGCCGCTCACCAGCTCGTGCCTCCGAACTTCCGTTTCCCCAAGTACAAACTGGCCAAACTCGCGGGGGGTGGAAACCACGTGTCAAGCACCCAGCGCACAGTCGGCGCTCCATGCGTGGTGCTGTTACCCCAGTTTACACAGGAGGGTCCCCCCCCACCGCCGGGGCAGGGCTGAAGTGCCTGTGGGGCCAAGGGAGGCATCCGACCCCACTGCCACCAGCCCCATCCCCAAGACGCGGCCCCGCAGCCAGGCGGCCTGGCACCCGCTCGCGGAAAAGCCGCACTGGGCGTCAGAGACGCGGGCCCCACCCAGCCTTCCGCTGGCTGGCAGCGTGTCCTTGGGCAGGTGCTGTCCCCACTCCGTGCCTCTGTTAGGTGAAAGGGTCGGGTCCACTGGTCCATAAGGACCCAGCACTGACCTTCCTGTTAACTCCACACATAGTGACCGCGGGCGTGGTCACTGGGGCTGGCACCCCCAGCTCACTCGGTGACGCCCGCCTCATCCCCGGCAGTGCCTCTCAACCCGTCACTCCCGGTTCCGCGTCCCCCAGGCCCTCCCCGGCTCCCAAGGACTTCGCACAGATGTGGCAGCGGGACTGGACAAACGCGGGGGGCCGGCCCCACCCACACCCTGCGGGAGGGGGGCCGTGGCAGGGTGCAGACTTGTGCCACGTGTCCGCAGCCATGGGCCTGTCGTGTCTTCCTGGCCCTGGGCTGCTTGGCCAGGGCCTGGCCCTCCAGTGTGGCTGCCCTGCCCGGCTTCACTCCAGACCTGCGTCTCTCCCCAGGGACCTGTCCCAGAACCGCATTGAGGAGCTGCCTAGCCTGCATGGCTGCCAAAAGCTGGAGGAGATGTGAGTCTGGGCTCAGGCAGGTCTGCGGGCGGGGCTTGCATGCACACTGACCTTCCCGCGCTCTCGGAGGGCGTGGGAGCTGGGGCTCAGGGACCAGGGGTCAGGGATCGGAGCCGAGGGACCGGGGCTGAGGGACCGGGGCTGAGGGACGGGGGTCAGGGACTGGGGGTCAGGGATCAGGAGTGAGGGCCTAGAGCTCGCAGGGACCACTCACAGGGGCCACAGTGGCCATGAAGCCGAGGCCTGCACAGGCCCTGGACTCACAGCAGATGGCGGGCTCAGCAGCCGACGCCCCGAGAGTTTCGGGGTGGCTCCTTGGGCTCCAGGGCAACAGCGGAAGGCGACAGTGGTGAGGGCCAGCAGAGGGACAGGGATAGGGACAGGGAGGCCTGGGGCCTGGCGGGCTGGACGAGCAGGGCAGCAGCAGGGGCTGGAAGTGCCTCTCTGAGTGCAGCCCCAGACACGGCTGGCCGGGGACACCGGGACTTGGCTCCGACGCGGCGGGAAGTTGCTCCCGAGGCCCCCCCAGCCCTCCTCACCCCGCTCCCACTTTCTCAGGCTGGCAGGGCCCCCGAGGCCGCCGTGTCTGTGCCTGTGGGGCCAGAGCAGGGGTGGTGTCAGGGGCGGTCCTGTCTGTCTGTGACAGAGGAAGGAGGGTTTCTGACACGGCCGAGGCTGGCCCATCCCCCCAGACAAGCTGTCTCCTGGGCCCTGCCGGCCACTGGCCAGTCACGGCTGTCCACGGGCTGGGCGGGAAGCCGGCCCTTTGGGGCCACAGGGATGGTTCTGTGGCTTTGTTTCCTGACCCACTCACCGAGGGCCACTGGTCCGTGTGCACAGCCCTTAATCTGATGACTTCCAGGGCTGGCCCTTCCTTCCCTCGCCAGGACAAGCGGGGGGCTCTCCCTTCTTCCGCCCAGTGTGTGGGGGCGTGGAGGGGAGCCAGAGTCTGAGCCGCCCTCATCCAGCCTCTCTTGCTGCCCTAGTGGCCTCCAGCACAACCGCATCTGGGAGATTGGAGCCAACACCTTTGGCCAGCTGAGCGCCCTGCGGGCCCTGTGAGTGTCCACAGCACTGGGGTTCGGGGGGCCCTGTGAGTGTCCACAGTACTGGGAGTTTGGGGAGCCTTGTGAGTGCCCACAGCACTGGGGTTCGGGGGCCCCTGTGAGTGTCCACAGCACTGGGGGTTCGAGGGGCCCTGCGAGTGTCCACAGCACTGGGGTTCAGGGGGCCCTGTGAGTGTCCACAGCACTGGGGTTCGGGGGGCCCTGTGAGTGTCCACAGTACTGGGGGTTCGAGGGGCGCTGTGAGTGCCCCGCAGTAAAGTGGGGAGCTCAGGCCCATCGCACTCGTGTCTGATGTGCATGCAGACCCCCGCTCCCCAGGAAGGGCGGTGCGTCCCCATCCAGACGGCATCGGGGCCACGTCTGCAGTGGCCAGGGCCACGAAGCCCACTGCCATGCCGGGGCCGGGGGCCGGGCACCTTCCCCCGGAGGCTGGAGCACTGCCCCCGGCGAGGCCCAGATGCGGGGCAGGTTGGGGAGAGCCAGGCTGGGAACGGGCCTCCGCGCGTCCCTGTCCCCGTCACACCCTCTCTGCCCACAGGGACCTGAGCTGGAACGCCATCCGGTCCATCCACCCTGAGGCCTTCGCAGCCCTGCGTTCCCTGCTCAAACTGTAAGTGTCCCTGGCCCCGTCCTGTGGGCCAGCCGTGGGGGCAGGGCAGGGACCCGCGTAGGTGTCCGACCACACGTCCCGCGACGTGGGCCCCAGCCTCACCCACTGCCGTGGCAGTGCGGTCCACAGACCGTGGGGTCGATGGACGCAGAGCCGGCTGCCCGCGCCCGGCCCCACAGCGTCTGCACAGACGCTGATCTGTGGAGAGGGGTGGCGGCCGTGGGCGCAGGGTCCCCCGCACCAGCATGACTCTGCAGGGCTGCCACATGCGGGCAGCACAGGTCCTCTAAAGTGACAGGACAGAAACGGCCGTGGTGGCAGCTGCCGGGGGCCTCTGGCGGCTGCGTCCGGCGGTGCAGGCTCGTCGCCGTGCTGGGGGCTGCCTGCCCACCTGCATGTCTGAAGGCATGTCCACCCAGACGGGGCCCATGACACTGAGCTGGCCCCAGGCCTGGCCTCAGAGACCCTCGGTGCCGCCCTGCCAGGGGCTCACGGCCCTCCATGGTCAGTCTGCCCTCGCCGGCTTCCGGGCCTCGGCCTCACGGAGCTCGCCCTCCCCCTCCCGTTTGCTCTGCTCCCGCTGATAGGCAGACTGGACTTTTCTATCCCTTCGAACGATGAGGACACTGAGACCCAGGCTTGTGGCCGCTTGGGCATGCAGGGGGTGCTCACTTCTCTGGCCGCGCAGCCTGCGTTGTGGGGTTTCGTCTGGAGCCCTGGCCTCCTCTGCATCTCTGGGGAGATGCGCATGGCCTCACCTCTGGCTGTACCATGGAGTGGGTGACAGAGTCCCCATGTGCAGCCCGCGGCCAGCTCTGCCTAGTCCCAACTCCGGGCTCCTGTATCATCAGAAAGGCAGGGGTGGGGTGGCAATGGGCAGGCACCCTCTGGGCAGACAGGGCCACCTGGATGGGACTCGGGCCCAGGGGCTCTGTCCCCTCTGAACCGGGGGCGTGGCGTTACCGAGCACGGTCACTGCTAGGTAGTCGGACCCGATAACGGATGAGTAGGCGAGCGAATGAATGGATGGGAGTGAATGGGTGAGCGGTGACAGGGCCGCTGGCGAGCACCCTGCTCCCTCAGACTTGACGCGGTCACCTTCTGTCCTTGCTCCTCCCTCTCGCTCCGTCTTAGGCTTACTGGCCACACGCTCACTGCAGACCTGTGCCCCGGAGTCCCACTGTCCGCCAGTAACCCTGACTGTCCACTGTCCTAGGGACCTGACAGAGAACCAGCTGAGCACGCTGCCCCTGGCCGGCCTCGGGGGCCTGAAGCATCTCAAGCTCAGGGGAAACCCGGCTCTGTCCCAGCCTTTCTCCAAGGACAGCTTCCCGAAGCTGAGGTGAGGGCCTGGCTTCCCCCAGGGCAGCTGAGCACCGAGCACGGACAGGGGCAGCCACGGGAAAGGCCTGGTGGCCAGCGGTCGGGTATGGCCAAGGCCGAGTGGGCAGGAGCCATGCCTCCCCGCCCTCCTCTCTCCTCTGTGGCATTTCCCCATCCCGGCCCCCGGGGACACAGACCTCAGGTGAGGACAGAAGCAGGATGGGGGGCTGGCCCCCCGACCCCGCTCTCCCTGACCCCTGTGCGGCCGAGCCACTCGTCTCCCTTGGGCAGCGCCTGGGCCATGGAGCCGAGGCGGAGCTGGAGCTGCGGGGCAGATGACGAGCCGCACGGCAGTCCCGGGCACTCACGACGCCCAGGTGGCCGCGTGTGGCGGCCCCAGCCCCATGGCTGCAAACCAGCGACCGCACAGGAGGGTGCCCAGCTCCGCCCTGCCCCGGGTGGGGACGGGGCACAGGCGGAGGTCACTGGGAGGGTCCTTGACCCTTGGATGGCAAGGAGGAGGTGCTGGCAGGAGGGGCCCGCGCTGAGTGCTGTGTGGCCGGGCCAGCTGCTCCCCACCCCGAGCCTGAGGCAGGAGCCGGCTGCAGCCACCATGCAGGATCGGGGCACTGGGGTCGTGGTGCAGGCACTGAGAGCCGGGCCGAGACCCCAGACTTCCCTGAGGCCCCGTGTCGCCCCCGCCCCAGGGTCCTGGAGGTGCCCTACGCCTACCAGTGCTGTGCCTATGGCGCCTGCACCGGTGTCTCCGAGGCCACTGGGCAGTGGGAGGCAGAGGACGCCCACCCGGAGGACCAGGAGGCTCCCCGGAGGCCGCTGGGCCTTCTTGCCGGACAGGCCGAGAACCACTGTGAGTGACAGCTGGGCCTGGGCAGGATGGGTGGGGCCTTGTGGAGGGAGTTGGAGAGGAGGCCTGGGGGGCCCGAGGGAGCCAAGGAGGGACTGCGGGTGGCCTGCACATGACCTTGTACCTCGTCCCTCCAAGGCCGTCTCGCAGAGGTGCCTGGGGGAGAGTAATGACCAGGACAATGTTTGCTGTAAAGAGCCGACAGTGCAGGTGACCCACATGTGGGCGGCAGGGGGCCGGCCCGGTGCTTACACCCAAGGGCAGAGACGATGTGCGGGCCACTGGAGGGAACTGTGCTAAGCAGAGTGACTCAGGGGACTTCGCGGAGGGGGGCCATTCGGAGAAAAGTGGGGCTCGGCTGACACCAAGCCCAGGCCCTAAGCCACTTTCTGGTCTCCCCTCTCAGATGACCTGGTGGACGAACTCCAGCTGGAGACGGGGGACACAAAGCCACACCCCAGTGTCCAGTGTAGCCCCGCTCCAGGTGAGGTGGTGTCCGGGGGCGGGCAGGACTTTGGACCCGTGGCTGGGCCCGTGTGCAGCCTGCTGCCAGCGCTCTTTGTGCAAGACGCGCCTCCTGGGGAAGAGGCGAGAGCCTTCCCACGCTGCCTGGGGGCGCGGCGCGGGGCGGGGGAGGGGTCGGAGCAAGCTTTCCGAGGCCGCGGACGGGACGCTGTATGTCAGGAGGAAACTTCTCTCGTTGGAGAGAAAAGCAAGAAAGACCCCGCCCCGACCCGCTACTCAGGCAGAGTGGCCACCCCCGCAGTCCAGCCCCAGGCCCGGGAACCCTCTGTGGACGGAACTCTGAAAGGCCTCCCAGCCTCGGCTCCCCAGAAAGGCCACGGCCTCTCCTTCTGGCCGTCTCCAGGCGAGAAGCTCATGTCGGGAGTCACTCCTTAGGCACCGCCTGACCCTATAGCCCCGAGCTCGGTCAGACTCGCCAAACCCCCTTTCGTAGAGAGAAGAGCTTGCTTCTCTAGTGGGCCCCGGGCCGGGATGGGCAGCGAGGGACAGTGGACTCCTCTGCGTCACCCCACGTCCGTTCTCCACTTTCCCACGTCTCTTTGCCTCGGGCCTTCAGCCTTCTGCCCCATGGCCTTCCAAGGCCGAACCGCTCCTGCCTGGCACTGCCCGGCACTGCCCCGCACTGTCCGGCACTGCCCCGCACTGTCCAGCATTGTCTATCACTGACGGTCACTGCCTGCACCTGCTCCCAGCGCTCCGTGGTCGCAGCGCGCCCTCTGGTGGCCATCTGGGGCGGGAGCGCTAACCACAACAGGACGCGGCGCCGTGTTCTCCGGCTTGGAAATTCGTGTGCTTCACGCTGCACAGAAATTTCTGCTCCGGAAAACCAGCAGCAAGGAGGTAAACCAGGAAGTTCAGACAGGCAAAGTCCACCTGGAACTTGTTTTACGTGGCTTGTACAAATGGCCAAATAAGTCATGGCGTCTCCCCGTGGCCGAGCAGTCCCTGAGAGCCTCTGAAAACCTGTTTTGGAGGAATATGAGGGTGCGGGGGAGAGCGTGTAACAGAATTTTAACTTTGAAAAGGAGACTGAAAGGCCATACATACAGTAAAACCCCGATGTGGTTTAAAAGTCTATATGTATAACATATATACATATTTTAATGGAAGGAAACATACCAAATGATGAGTTCTCTCTGAGAGGTGAGGTCATAAGTAGCTTTAATTTTCCCATGTTATGGTTTCCAGATTGTCTATAGTTACCGTCCATTACTTGACGATCAAACATATGTGTCTAAAATATCGCTCCTAAGAAATGATGTCTCGCATTCCCGAGCGACCTGCAGTACCCTGCAGAGTGGGAGCCTGAAGCTAACGGAAATGAAGGGTTAACAGAGCCAGTTACAAGGGGGCTTGAGGACAGAGCCTGGGGAGATGGACGGAAAATGCCAGAGTCTCCCCACCTAGTACAGGACCAGGCCGGAGGATGCCGGGAGTCGTCGCGTTTTGATTGACTTAGTGATCGACGCGCAGCGGGTCCTCAGGGGTCCCTGGGCAGCCCGACGCCGCTGGGTGTCTCTGCTGCGGCCGTAGCCCAACCCCACAGCCCTCTCCAGTCCCCGATGCCCGGCCGTCCCTTCCTTTCTTCCAAATGTGCCCTTTGTAAAGACTGCTTTGCCTAACAGGCCCTGCCCGCCCGGCGCTGTGCTGATCTGTGCTTCGTGCGTGATTGTTACGTTTCTGTTGTCTGCATGTATGTCCCCACTGTCCCTCCCCTCAACCCCAACTGGGGGCTCCCCAAACCGGCTCGGCCTCCCTCAGCCTGGGAGCCTGAGGGCAGAGGCTGCGGCGTTTCCCGGGCCTTGTCTCAGACCCGTGTCGGGCGTCCCTTGGCCAGAGCTAACGTCTGGCCCTCTCTCCCGCAGGCCCCTTCAAGCCCTGCCAGCACCTCTTCGAAAGCTGGGGCGTCCGCCTGGCCGTGTGGGCCATCGTGCTGCTCTCCGTGCTCTGCAACGGGCTGGTGCTGCTGAGCATGTTCGCTGGCGTGCCCGGCCCCCTGCCGCCGGTCAAATTTGTGGTCGGCGCCATAGCCGGTGCCAACACCCTGACCGGCATCTCCTGCGGCCTCCTGGCCTCTGTTGACGCCCTGACCTTTGGCCACTTTGCCGAGTACGGGGCCCGCTGGGAGACGGGGCTGGGCTGCCGGGCCACAGGCTTCCTGGCCGTGCTTGGGTCCGAGGCCTCGGTGCTGCTGCTGACTCTGGCCACAGTGCAGTGCAGCATCTCGGTGTCCTGCCTCCGGGCCTATGGCAAGGCCCCCTCCCTGGGCAGCATGCGAGCAGGTGCGCTGGGCTGCCTGGCCCTGGCCGGTCTGGCTGCCGCCCTGCCCCTGGCCTCGGTGGGAGACTACGGGGCCTCCCCGCTCTGCCTGCCCTACACCCTACCCGAGGGCCAGCCAGCAGCCCTGGGCTTCGCGGTGGCCCTGGTGATGACGAACTCTTTCTGCTTCCTGGTGATGGCCGGCGCCTACATCAGACTCTACTGCAACCTGCCGCGGGGCGAGCTGGAGGCCACGTGGGACTGCGCCCTGGGAAGGCACGTGGCCTGGCTCATCCTGGCCGACGGGCTCCTGCACTGCCCCGTGGCCTTCCTCAGTATCGCCTCCGTGCTCGGCCTCGTCCCAGTCACCCCTGAGGCCGTCAAGTCCGTCCTGCTGGTGGTGCTGCCCCTGCCCGCCTGCCTCAACCCCCTGCTCTACCTGCTCTTCGGCCCCCACTTCCGGGAGGACCTGCGGGGGCTCCGGTCCTGCTCAAGGGCCCAGGGGACCCTGGCCCACGCGGCTGCCCTCGAGCTGGAGAAGAGCTCCCGTGACTCCACCCAGGCCCTGGTGGCCTTCTCCGATGTGGACCTCATTCTGGAAGCTTCCGAGGCTGGGCAGCCCCCTGGGCCAGAGACCTGTGTCTTCCCCTCAGTGACTGTCATGTCCCGTCAGCAGCCAGAGCTCCCCAAGCTGGAGGGCAGCCACTTCGCAGAGCCCGAGGGAACCCACTGTGGGAACCTATGCCCCTCTGCGGGCGGGGAACTGCTCCCGAGGGCAGAGGGAGCCTCGTCGGCCGAAGGGGGCTTGTCGGTGGGCGTGGGCGGCGGGCCCTCCGGCTCGGCCTTCGCCTCACACGTGTAAATGTCCCTCCCCTTCTCTTCCCTTTCCTCCCTTCCCCTCCACGAATGATGGCTGCTTGTAAAATAAATTCAACCTAAACTCAGCAGCACGGTGCCTGGCGGGATGGCCCCGGCCCTGGCCGCCCGGGGCGCCTCCCTCGCATGCCGTCACCAGCGTGCCCCGTGGCCGGTGTCCTCTTCCCGGTCCTGCCTGCAGCTTGGACCAGAGACCTGGAAACCCGTCTGCTTAAGGGCAGCGAGGGAAACGCAAGACAGTGGTGACCGGGGTGGGGGCCAAGCAGCTCGGGCTCAGGACTCCATGTGCGGGAGGACCCCGCAGAGAAGGCCTGCGAGGGGACTGCAAAAGCTCTCGGCACCTCCCGCCCGACTCGCGGAGTGGACACCAAGCGTGCCGTGTGTCCCATTCCCCGTGAGCGCCGGGCAGCGGGCGCTCTGAGCTCTTCTGCAGCGGGAGCATCTGCGGCACTGTGCCAAACCCGGTTCCCCGAGTTACTCGACTGCGGGTTTTGTTTGCGTGTCCGGTTCTCGTGGACTATCTAAGAACGTCTCGCATAACTCAGCACTGCTCCCTCCCAGGGCCTCGTCTCTGCACCGCCTGATACTATCCTGTGACCCCACGAGATGCTACCGGTCCTGACTTAGGAGCACAGCCCAGTTAAAGTGGGTGACGCCACCAACCAGCAGACTCCATGTGCCGCCTCCCACACTCCTGCCCTTCCCTGGGGAGGTGGGGAAGAAGCCTCAGCCTTACACTGGGGCTGGAGGCGGGGCTCCCCCCTCCTCCCCAGCTCAGAGAAACGGGAGTCTGTCCTCGGGAGGGAGGACACAGGAGAGTCTGGCTTCCCTCTGGCCCCGAGTTGCCTCCTCGTGGTTCTCGATCCACCGTCCACCAAAGCCTGGTCCTCCCTTCGCCTCCCAGGCCCTGCCTTCTCTGGGGGACAGGGCGCCCTCGGCCAGCCGGCTGGAGGGGTATTTGTTGTACGTACTGCACAGTAGGAAACAGTACAGGAATCCGGGCTTCTTGGGTGCTTCAAATAGGCCACCGCCCTTCCGCCTCTCCTGCTGCGACCTTTACCGTTCGGGTCCTCTGAGCATTTCCAGGGTCCCCCTCCTTGTCCCAAACACACACTCACTCAGCCCCGGGATGGGGAGGTGACAGCTGGGGCACTTCAACAGACCTAAGAAGAGAACATGGGGTGAGGCCTGGCCCAAGGCACTCACATCAGTCACGCCAGGACAGGAGTCTGGGATGGAGACCCGAGGGCACGCAGTCCCCTCCTGAATGGACTCTGCGCCTCGGCCAGGCCCCTCCCCAGGGCTCCGCTTTGTCTGCGAGCTCTGGGGTGGCACCCCTGTCATCTCTCTGCCCAGATCTGCCAAGCTCGGCCCTTCTGGTGGAAGGACAGGTGTGTGGGGACTGCAGGGTCTTCCATGAGCTATTTCTATTAGTCAAAAAGCCCTGTAGGTGTGACACTTTCACCCAAAACAAGGCAGCCAAGGAACAACTGTCCGATATGCACCAGCAGAGTTTCGTGTGTCCCTCAGCCCCTTGCCACGGCCTCTGCTGGAGCGGGGTGTGGCCCCAGGGAGGGGCTGCTTCAGAGGGGTGGTCAGGGCGGCAGGCGCTGCCTTTTCTCCATTCAGCCAAGTCACAGGTCAGTGGTCAACACTGGCTGACCACTCTCAGGCCAGGTCCTGTCCTGGTCCCCTACACTGTAGTGTGAACGGGTGCGTTTGTGCGGGGTGAAAAACAGGGCTGTGGCCCCTTTGCTCGGGGATGGGGCTGGAGCAGGAAAGGCCCACACAGCGTAGCTCTCGCTGCTGGGTCCGTACTCCTGACCCAGGGCCTCGCGCAGTTTCTGTTGGGGAAAAAGGCTTAAGACGTTAACATATCCGGGTACCTCCACAGGCTCCATTTCCCAGCCCAAAAGGCCCACCGGGCGGACAACACAGCCAGAGCCCTGGCTGAGCTCGCGCCCCAGAACTGCCCTGATGCTTGGTGCCCGGGCCTGTGTCATGTCCTTTGACTTGAGAAGGTGCAGGTGCTTCCGCATGGGACTGGGGGGCCGCCCAGTTCCCCGGCCCCCTTGTCTGTAGCAGCTCTTTCCAGCTCCCACAGCGTTGAGCTTGCACATGACAGGTCAGGGACATCTGTGCGACTTTCCTTCAGGCCACTAGGCCCACTGCTCCCTGATGCAGAGCTGGAGCTGACCCCACTGCAGGTTCCACTGTGTGGTGGCACCGGGGAGGGCTTCCCTGGCCACGGAGACTGGTGCGCAGATGGGACCATCTCCTGAGTCCTCTTTGTGAGGTGCCGAAAGGGCCCGCCTACTTCGCCGGTGAACTGGTGGCTATTGTCTGCTCAGGAGAGTTGGGGTCCCGTCGCCTGCGGGCAGGCTTCTCTAACACCCCGTCTGCACCCCTGCCCTCGGCGTGAGGGTGAAGTGCAGCTGCTGCATGGGAGTCTGGACGGCAAGGTGGGCTATCGGGAGAGGCCATCGGGACGGGAGGCCCCTGGCGGTCACCTAGGGCAGGGGCACGAATGCCAGAGGGAGCACGGAACAGAACGGAAGCCGAGCAGGTGACCGGACCACTCATTCGACCTCATCTCTGAACCTGAGCTCTGCAGGCTTTGCCCTTGGATGTCACAGGTGTCAGAGCCCAGGAGCTGCCGGGAGTCGGCACGAGGAGCACCCTGCAGTGTCTGAGCCCCCGCCTCGCTTGGGGAGGAAGCACCTACAATCCCGGGTACATTTCCTTCTTCCCACACTGTGTGATGACGTCCGAAAACCTAGAGTCATCGAATCGTTTCTAACGGCTGCTCTACATCTGTGTCAGACATCCCGTGTCCCTAGTGATGCTGGCTAAGTTGGCAAAATAAAGGAGAACGATTTCGACTATTTTATGTCCTTGGTGTAAGGTCTCTGGCCAGTTTGCTCCCAGATGCATGTTCGGGATAAACGCATACTCAACGTTAACTTATTATTTATTTTTCAGGTTTAAAACGTTTCAAAATACGCACGTACAAGCTAAATAAAACACAATGCACTTCGAGATTCAATGTAAAAGCAGAATACATAAAAATACAAGTTCTGTTTTACAAAGCACAAAGACCAAACGTCATCAAGTATAAAAAAAAAAAAACCATTTAAGAAAGGCGGGCCACGCAGACGCTCCGGCAGAAAATATATTAACTAAGACGAACCAGGACAAACGCCTTCAACATCGGGGCAGAATTTCTTTTCCGCGCCGCCTGGCTGCCTGGCCTTCCTCTTCCGTGCTGGGTCGCGTGCTTCTGGGTCGCCGGCCTCTGGCAGGCTGCCGGGCGCCTCTTCCTCGTCAGCCTAAAAAGGAGTGAAAAGCAGCAAGGCTCGCGCTGCTGCCGGGAGGGACCCGCAGCGCTGCACGACGACTCCGGGCGCTGCTTCATCGCTTCTTGTACGCGATGCGCCTCCGACAGCACCTTCCTCAACCTTCCACGTTTCAATTTTTCATTTCTCTCCACAAGTAACACTAACCGCTACTTCCCTCAGTCTGAAGGGTGTCATAACTCAGCAGCAACCGGAGGGCGCTACCCATTGCACTGCACCATCGACTTGAACTGGGGCAGTTCCTCCTCCTTCTCCCATAGATGGTCCCAGAAGACAAGCCAACTGCCTCCTCCCTCCTACACCCTCCTCACCATGTCCCGATCCTGCAGACACGGTCCCTTCTCAGTGTTAGAAAGAAACAGAAAAAAGAATCTGAGTCACCCTCATCTACCCATCTACCCCCAGGAATACAAAAAGAATCAACCAGCTGCTGCCTGCCCCGTCTAGTGCTGTCGATAGGTGACAGATGTGGGGAAATCTGCTGGGTGAGCTACTAGGCTATTTTGCTGAATAATCAGAGGGCCGCAGTTGGAGAACATGGATTAGCCACTCCGGAGTATGGAACCCATCCGGCAGGCCCGGCAAACACTTCCGCACATCCGGATCAGCAGCAGCAGCAGCAAGGTCAGGGCCGCACGAGCATCGCACCTCCCGGCTCGGTCTGGCATGCTTCTCTGTCCACTGCCTGGCATTCCGGAGGAAGACTGGCTTATTGTATTTAAATTCTGAAGACTGAGACAAAATCCAAGGGAGAGTCAGTGGAAAGAAGCAGGACTTGCAGGGGAGGGTCCAGCCGCCTGGGGGAACCAGGACAGACACTCACCACGTCAGCCACGAGCGGGTCGTCGGGGTTGGGCTCTGACATGAGCAGCTGGATGGACGTCAACACAGTCGCGATGCTGAGGGACGGCCTCCAGGCGCCCTGCACACACAGACAGGCAGCTGCTAGGGCCTGGCGAGCGTGGCTCCAAGTCAGGCTTCACAGACCGACCGCAGAGTCCACCCTCCCCCCTCTCACTTTTGGTGGCAACTTGAGAATATCCAGACAAATCCTTCCAGCAGAATCAATGTTCGGATGGTAGATTGGAGTCAGAAACCGGATCTGAGGAGGTTCAAATGGGTACCTTTGAAAGCACAGGGCGACAGATAAGTTCTATTAATATAGTGCTTCTTAGTAATCATAATTAGTCAGGAAGACAGCCTTTGAAAGGCAAACCTTTCTCTCTCGAAATTTTTATTATGTTAATTTACAAACAATACTATTAAAAACAATCAAACACCCACCAGCTGGATCAAGCCCCTGCACCCTCCAAATACTTCTGCTTTACGTCATGGTAAGACGGAGCCGGAAATGCAGGTCCTTCCACTCCTACATTTAACGCTCGCCACACGCTGTCTTCTCATAACTGTGCCTTATCCTAGAGTTCAGAGTCTCGTTCACACTAACCTCTCGGGAATGACGACTTCCAGCTTGAATACACCTTTTTCATAAGGTGTGTCGGCCCCACCTAATATTTCTTAAAAGAAAAAAAACATTCAGAGGTGACTGGATGGTCTGCATCACACCCCGTAGACCCCGGGAAGTCTGGGGCTCTGATTCTCTCAGACTTATGCAGCCCTCACACAGGGCACTGATGCACCCACAGGCTGATGATGTCAAACTAAGAACGTATGGGAGCCTGAGACAGAGTTGAAAACTAGGGGCCACGGGGACACGCAGCCTGTAGGTTTGCTTTGTCTGGGCTGCAGTCTTCCAAGCACGTGTCTCCTGCCTTAAATATTTGAGACGCCGCTCTTTGGTCCAAACACTGCTTCAGAGCTGATGTTCAATTCTGGGCTACAAATCAGCAAAAGCTGTCACAAAAAGGCCAACGAGAAATGTGACGCAAATCCTGCATAGGGCAGGAACCAAATCCCGGTAGAAAGGACCTCGCAGTCACTCCCCACTTTGGAAGAACACAGACGTTTAAACTCCAGCACAGCGTCAGCAAGGGCCCCGACTCATCGCAGGCCGAATGTGACACCTACGCGCTCGCAGATCGTCCCTGTGGGTGTCCTGCCAGCACGTGATGCCCGGGGGTGGCTCGGTGGCCAGGAGCTGCAGCTCTCTCTTCAGACGTGAAGCTCTCTGCATGATTCCCAGCTAACGGGAAGCCCACACGGTTCTCTCAGCCGCAGGAATAGCTGGCTGGGACGTGCTGCGGAGAAAAGGGGCAACCATGTCAAAGACAGCAAGGGTCTGGGTTTTTTAGCGCACTGCGTCAATTTACTGAAGGGAAAATGGGTTCTCTATATTAACCTAGCCTATTCTGAGAAGGGAATCAGAGTTTTTGCATTTGTCTTTTTATCTAATCAAGCAAACAAACTTTTTAAATAAGTATAAAAGGTGCAAAAAGTTCTACAAACGACAATAATGATGTTTTAACTTGACGTCTGCTTCCGCGAATAAATTATAAACTCAGGCAGGGCCTGGGTCTGGTTTTGCCCACCACTGACCCTCTCGAGCCTGCAGCCTGGCTCACGAGGGGACTGGAAACCACTGTGGGAAGGAGTGCACGGCTGGTGGCACGGGAGTCACCACTCCGAGATGCAATGGGTCAGGCTAGGATGCGGCGCGGCGAGCGCCCACGCAGCCCGCCCACGAGCGGCCGGCTCACCTCCTCTCTTCCACCCCCTCCCTTGCCTCGCATTCGGGCCCCAACTTCCAGTACAAGGCGGAGCGGGAGCGCTCACGCCGCGTGAACACATCGTCAGCCCCTGGGGGTCGCAAGTCGCGCTCCCGCGCCGCGTCCCCGCCCCTCCGCGCCGGGGGCCGCCGTCCAGCCCCAGGGCCCCTCGTGGGCCGGGTACCAGGCCGGGCCGAGTCCCAGTGCGGGCCGGGCCCCTGGTCGGCTTGGGCGGTTCCCCGTCAGCTGTGAGCCCCGTGGTGCGTGCGGCCCATCAGACGCCGTCCGCCGTCTCCTCAAAGGC